CTGTGGCTCAAGTGGTAGAGCCTTGAGCTGAAGAGCTGAGGGACAGCGCCCAGGCCCAGAGTTCAGGCCCCATGACGGGACCAAAAAAAAAAAATTAATCATATTTTTTACTTAAAATTCCTAAAACATTTTCATGTTGTTCAAACTCTAAACATTATTTAAATGATTACAGGATGTGCCATAATTTACTTAATTCATTTCATCTTGTTGGAAACTCAGCTTGGATCCAGTTTTTTATTGTTATAAAATAACTTGCAAGAAACCTCTTTCTGTGTGAATAAGCTTCTGTATTACCTAGAAACCTGGGCACTGTTTTTCAGAGGCTTCTGTCTGACCCCAAGTGCAGGGCCAGGGCTACAAGTAGTGCCCACATGCTCACCAAACTTAAGGAGAGCTTTTTTGGCAATGGGTACAGAATGGAAAGGCTGATTGCAGAAGGCCAGCAGGGATGAGCCTCCCAGCCCTAGGGTACACAAGGAGCTGATGGGGCTTGGCGGTCAGTGTTCGATTCCAGTTTCTCTTTCTGAAATCCTCTGCTTCCAGAGGGAGAAGCTCTTTTCTCAGCCAAGAAACCGAGGTTCTGAGCACAGTGCAGGCTGACCCACCAGGTGTACCTGACTGACTCCCACATCTGCACGTCCACCTGCACCCTTCCTGCGTCTCCATGTCCACCTGCGTCTAGCCGTGCCTCTGCCTGCACACTCCCTGTACCCCGTCCTGTGCCTGTGTACCACCTGTACCTCTCCCGGAACCGCTCCTGTGTCTCCATGTCCACCTACATCTGCATCCCCACCTGCATCTCCTCCTGCATCCGCATACCCACCCGAGCGTGCGCATGTGCACGCGCACACACACCAGTGCCTGTGCACTCACCTGCCCTCCCTCCTGTGCCTGCTTGTCCACAAACAGCTCGCACCGCTGCCACTCCCATCTGCTCTGGCCACCCCTTCCACCTCAGTCCGCATAAGTGGGCCGCTTGGTCTCTTGTAACTATGTCTCATGTAAATAAGCCTTGTCTCATTTAATTCTCAAAACTCTCCGGGAAGTAGGAACTGATCCCAGATTTTACAGAGAAATAAAACAGAATGGACTCTCGGGGAGTTGTGTGGGTTTGCCATCCTCTTTTCTGTTGTCTCGGAAGTGGGTGCGTTCAGCTTCGTTGGGGCTGTGGTGCTGCTTTCCCCAGGGGCTGTCAGCTGCCGTGGTGCGATGGAGATGGAGAAGCTCGCTGCTCCAGCGGCTGGGCCGCCAGGGCTGTTTTACGCCACTCTTCAGGCATGTTCTGACAGGAAGTGATCTCTCCAAACCTCCCCATGTGCTTGCCCCTGGGCCTGTGTCTGTCCCTCCCCCCCAAGCTGGAGTGTCTGTCCTCCCATTCCTACTAACTTTTTGCTAAGCACATGGCTGGGGGACAGGAGGGGAGGAGGACATGTTTTGAGCTGGGACTTGGCTTAGTACATGCTTGACAGTGTTCTTCCACTGAGCTACATCCTTAGCCTCACCGGGAACCTTAGAAGCAGTATGTCCACTCATTCCTACCACCTGGGCATCAGACCCTCATGGGCCATTCTTCACCCATAGTCTTAACATGTCCCTGTGTATTGGGGGCAATTTGCAGTTGGGGGCCACTGGTCACCAGCTAACCACCCCTTTGCCACCAGCTGCTAGGGCTCAGGAGGGGCAGGAAGCTGGTAGCGCCACCTCTAGTGCCACTTTCCTTACTGTTGTGAGAGCTCAGGCCTCCCTTTTGCCTGCTCTTTCTTGGACCCACCTAGGCCCTCTTGCTAGCTCCCAGCCTTACCATTCCTGGGGACTGCAGACATTGGGTCTTGATTTCTGAGGGTTGGGGGTTATCCAGTTGGTGAGGGGCCCTTTGTATAGTCCAGGCCTGGAGAGGAAAGATGTCATCCCATTTTGGGGGAGAAATAAAACTAAATGGACTCTGGAGGAATTCTAAACATCTTTTACCTGACAGTATAAGATCCACATCTGCCGGGCGCCAGTGGCTCACACTTGTTATCCTAGCTACTCAGGAGACTAAGATCTGAGGATTACAGGTCAAAGCCAGCCTGGGCAGGAAAGGCCATGAGACTCATCTCCAATAAACAGAAAAAAAGGAAGTGGTGCTGTGACTCAAGTGTTAGAGCGCTAGCTTTGAGCTGAAGAGCGCAGGGAAAGGCCCAGAGTTCAAGACCCATGACTAGCAACAACAGCAACAAAAAGACCCACGCCTCCCACTTAAGGTTCTTTTTTTTTTTGCTGCCCTTAAAGACCATTGTGCACTTGCAGAATGTGGGTGGGTGAGGAGGGGCCATTTGCATTCTCTGCTCTGTGGTGGAGGTTCTGTTTTTCAGGGGCTGAGGCCTGTGCATTTGGACATGTTTTCAGAGAAGGGGAGGAAAGCAGAATACAAAATATTTTTTTGTATTGTTTTTGGATTGTCTATATAAGGAGAGAAAAGGCTCAGCTCTCTGGGGACAGCCCGGTCCTCAGGCTCCAAGTCCTCCTGGATTCCAGTAGTGCACAGCTTGACCATCCGCGCTTACCAGGTGCTCTCTCCTCCACACTCACTGGTCTGAAGAGTGTGGGGCATCTCCACTTTGGAGGTTGGGGTGGAGACTCAGTGACAGGAGGCCAGGAGCAAATGTCTTCTAGTTCTTTCCAGAGCAGTGCTCCCTAGGCACCTTTGCAGCAACCACGCACACCTTTTGTGCCTGCCTAGTCATGTCCCCCCTGTGCCAAGTGTGCAGCCACTGTTGCCTGTTGATACAGGTCGTGTAACCAGAGCTGAGCTGAGCTGGGCCTGCCGCTCAGAGCTCAGTGCTCCTTGGGGGCGCAGGTCTGTGGGAGCGGGGGCGGTCAGACATGCGGGTGGCTTCCTCCCAGGGCCCTTGTATGTGTCCTGGGCACACTACCATGGGACCTGCCCAGAGCTCCCTGGGCCTGCAGAACCCACCGCAGGATCACTGCTGAGGTCCCGGTCACAAAACACCACCCTGCTATCCCCGCTGACACACCTTTAGTGACCTCTTGATGCCTCTAGACAGCCCCAGATCCCTGGCGGCCTGAGTTGTGGTGATGTGATTTTGGAGCCTCCCTCTGCCTCTTCACCCTGCAGTTCCTCCGCCTGGTATAGCTGCCTGGACAGTTCAGAGGACCCCCCTGGAGCTTTTCCTGCTGTCTGACCTTTGTTCCCCAGGGCACCCATGTGATTCCCTGGAGCTCCTCCTCCTCCCCCCCTCCTGGGCCGAGTTTGAATGAGTTTAGTGTTCTTCATGCCAGCCCAGTGGGGAAGGTACCTGAGCCCAGTCCCCTGGGAGTGACCTGGGGAGGTGTTTGTGGGACACGGAGGGTGCTGGGCTTTGGAGACAGGCCTGGGAGAGGGCCGTGTGAGGTCTTGGGGAAGAGAGCCCTTGCTTGAGCAGGGCCGGAGCAGGAAGAGAACAGAGAAAGGCCTGAAATTCCTTTTCTGTGCTGCTACAAAGAAGTCACTGCAGCTCTCTGGCAGAATGAGCAGGTCACTGCTGTCTGGTCCAGCAGAGGTTGAGGGGCAGATCTAGCCTCAGGTCCTCTGTCCCTGGGAACCTGTGGAGAAGGTTCTTTCCTCGTGGCTCTTGGTATTCTTTTCACATAGGAAGATGGCTGGCCTGGCTGGGTGACTGCACCCCTGTGACGAGCCCTGTTAGCCCAGGCTGACTGCCCAGGGCCCACAGCTGCGCAGTGCCTGGGACCAGGGACACCAGCCAGGCAGGACAAGCAGAGGGAGGAGGCTCAGTCCACACAGCCCCACCTCACCAGGCTGCCCGTCATCCCACCGGGCACCTTGGGCAGGAAGTGCTTGGATGAGCACCTGAGGGCCCCACCTGCTGAGAGGCTCCTGCATTCCAGAGTCCCTCTGGCTGCGCTTCTGGGAGTCCTCCCTGCAGCACTCCTGGTGGGGTGAGTCACCTGCGGCCAGAGCTGCTGCAGCTGCCGTCCTCCTCCACCTCCTCCTCCTCCTCCTCCTCCCCCTTCCTTCCCCTCCGCCTTCTTCCTCCTCCCCCTCCCCTTCCCCTCTTTCCCTCTTCTTCCCCTTCCTCCTCCCCTCCTCCTCCCCTCTTCCCCCTTGTACTCCTCTCCCCTTCCTCCCCCCCCCGCCCCCTTGCAGCTGAGTGAGGTCACTGAGGGCTGCAGCATTGGGGCTTTGCTCTAGGAGGTCTCTCATCGTTGCTCAGGTTGCTGTCTCCTTCCCTGAGTGGAACAGCCCTACCTTGTGGCCTGTGGAGCCAGGAGGCTCAGAGGGTCTAAGGCTCTTGTTTGCAGTCCTACAATAGCAGTGGGCTTGGGAATGAATTCTCCAGGACTTGCACACTCAAATGCCCCGTTTCTCTGGGCTAATACATGAGGAAGAATGTGCTCCAGCTTTCTTTGCCTTTGGGGGGGGGTCTTCCAGGCAGATGGTGCCCAGAATCTTGTTTTGTGCGGCTTTGTGTGTGCGTGGAAAGGCTCACATGGGATGAGCCCTGGGGCCCACAGGGAGCTAGCATTGCACCTGCAGGGAGCTAGCATTGCGCGCTGCAGGGACAAGACATAGGCTCATTGTCAGCCTGGCATTGTGCCTGGCTCCTAGCCTAGAGCCCGGCGCTGTGAGGGCTGGTGAGAGGTGGGGAGAAATAGGTGATTGGATACGCTCATGAGCCTGGTTCCTGGGTTCATGGCTGGAGAGGAGAGTGGATTCTGGGGTTCTGCGACTTACTTGTGTGTGGCAGGAGAGTGGAGGCTGGTGTGGGGGGTGGGATGGCACTGGCGTGGCTAGCTCATGACTCCTGGCGGGGACGGTGGGAGCTGCAGAGTGAGTCAGAACAAGCAGCAGCCCCTCCAACCGTGAGGCCATTTTCTGGGAAAAGCAGGGAGTGGGGAATCAGGAATTCTGAGGAACTCATGCAGGGGAACTTGAACCTCGAGCTACTGCTTCAGCTTGAAAGCCCTGCTTGGGGAGGTGGCTGTAGTCTGGAGACGGCCTGGGGGCAGTGAAGCGGCAGGGGCTGCGGTACCTGTCCTGAGTCGTGGGGACTGTGACCCAGTGGCTGCCCAGGTGGAAGCTGTCGCTCCCTGACACATACCTCTGTGCCTGGCACAGAGCAGGCCAGGAAACGGGAATCCTAGTGCCAATCAAGAATGGGGCCTCCATTCCCCTGATTTTCAGTGGGCTAATAGGGAGATGACCGGGCCCTGAGGGGTCCACATTGTCACAAGCAGAGTTCTTGTTGATGGTGAGCCGAAAGCCACAGTGGAGCTTCTGAGTGTGCAGTCCTGCGCTCACTCCTGTGCTCACCTGTTCTACGTTCACGGGCTGCGGGATCAGGACTGCCTGTCCACGGACAAGACCCTTGTAGATGGGCAGGGAGGCGCCGCTGTGACCTGAGACAGTTTCCTCACCAGGAAAATGAAGACCAAAGAAGACAAAGTGGTTTTGACTGTGCGCACATCAGCGGGAGGGTGCAGATAGCACCTGCTGCACCTCAAAAGGGCTCAGGCAGGTGGTGGGGCAGGAGCCAGTTTGGGGGAGAGGCGGTGGGCACAGGTGGAGCAGATGAGGGGGGCTACTAAGGAGTATTTCATCAGGGGAAAGCAAACAAGGCCAGTGCAGCATGGAGGACCATAGGGAAGACACGGGAGCTCTCTGGAGAGCCTGGCTCATGTGGCAAAGGAGCCTGGACTTTGGCCTCATCTGTCCTCCAAACCCCATGCCCCTCTTGGCTTGCCAAGCCCTCGAGATCGTTCACATGGGGACCCAACTGACCAGTCCTGCTTTCCCCCAGGGGCTCATCAGGGCAGCCTGGGCAGCGCCTTTGTCTGCTGTGCCCGAGGCCTGGAGTTGTGAAAGGCCTATTCAGACGGCCCTGGCCCCGTGTGGGGAAGCTTCCAAAGCACCATAGAGGCTAGCAGAGCCAGCCTGCCTTTGTGAGGAGGTAGTCAGAGCTGAGCAGAGCCTGCTGCTGACCAGGTGTCCTCTCAGGAGGCCCTGGTGCAGGCGTCCCTGGGAAGGGCACGGGCTGGGCAGTGCCATCGCCAGACTACAACAGAGACCGAGCCCTGTGAGGAGACACACAAGCCATGAGCCAGGTGGGACACCTCTGGGGCCAGAGTCTTCTGGCTCTGTCCCACTCGAGTCTTTCATCTGGCTTCTCTTAGCCTCCCCTACTTGCCATCTTCACTTGTAGTTCCCACTGAGCCCCAGTGAAAGCCCCTTCATCAGCAGCTGGGTGGGGCCCACAGCCTGCCCTCTGAGCCTCTATGTTACTGATGAATGAGCCCTGCTCCCCTGAAGCTCTGGCTGGCTTTGAATGGCAATCCTTGGATCTCAGCTTCCTGAACAGCTAGGATTACAGGTGTGAGCCACCGGCGCCCAGCTCCCCTGAAGCTCTGGGAAGGCCCAAACCAAGATGGGTTCTGCTCAGCCTTCTGGCCAGCACTAAGCAGGCTCCCAGCATGGTCCAGCCCTGGCCAGCACATCCCTGCAGCTGCTCCCTGACACAGTCTCCATCCATACAACAAGCCTGCCTGTGCTCTGTGAGAGGCAGAGAAAGTGGAGGAAGTTTAATGTGGTGCTCGGGACATGGGAAGCCTTTTGTGTTAACTCCATTGCTCTTGATACAGCCACTGTGGACATTTGGGCTACCTCCTTTCAGTCTTTATTCCCAGGCATTAAAAAAAACAACCAAAAACCCACCAATAATCTGTCTTATGTTTATCCATGTACAATTTTTTTTGGGGGGGGTCTGGTCATGAGGCCTGAACTCTGGGCCTGGGCGCTGTCCCTCAGCTCTTCAGCTCAAGGCTAGCTCTACCACTTGAGCCACAGCGCCACTTCCGGCTTTTTTTTTTTCTTTTTGCTTATGTGGTGCTGAGGGATCAAACCCAGGGCCTCAGGCATGCAAGGCAAGTGCTCTACCACTGAGCCACCTTCCCAGCCCCCATGTACAATTTTGAATAAGCCTCTCTCCCCAGTCCTGATCAGTGCATTTTTAACTGCATTGTTGTTAAAAAATATTTTGGTTTTTTTCTGAATAAGTAAACATGGTGCTCAGGGTACAAAATTCAGTAGCTATGAGAAGACTGATAATAGAAAACCTGAGATCCTTCTCTTCCCTTCTCTGTCTCTGAAGATAACACTAGCAATGAGCAAATGATACTAACACTGAATTAAAACTCTCAGCCTCAGGAGGCAGCTGACAAATGAGTATCATTCTTCACTCAGGAGATAGGCGTCTGTGTGGCATGGTCAGCCCTGCTGAGCTGGAGGGACCCCAACAGTCCAGCCCCTCCAGCGCTTCCCTCAACCTTCCGGGTCTGCATATCTGTCTGTCTGTGCGTCTGTCTATCTATGCATCACCCAGGTGGCCTTAAACTCCCAGCATAGGGACTTCCAAGGCATGCACTGCCATGCCCGCTGGCTTTGGGGGTTTGTTTTCTTATGATTTTTCTTTACCATTACAACTTTTGAGTTGGCATCCGGAGGGGCACAGCTTAATGGAAGAACACTTACTGGCTCAGGCCTGGTCCTGGGCTCTCCGTAACAACTGTCGGAGGAGCTGTTCTGATTGTGTGGTGAGGAAGCCAAGGGCCAAGCGCCTTCATCGTACCCACCCAGGAGTCAAGAATGGGGTCAGGACCAGATGGTAGAGAATGTGACCAGCCTTGTCATCTAGTGCCTTGTTCCTTTCCAGTATGTGTCTGAGGAATCCCGTCTGTGGAAAGCCTTTCACATTACGAGTGCCCTACTGTGAAGTGGACTCCAATTCCCTCCACACAAAGCCCTGAGGACCCTTCAGGGCCCAGGTGGCCACTGTGAACCACCCCTGGGCTACCAAGAAGGGCAGAGCCATTCCTGGGGACTCGGAAGGAAAGAAGAGCCACTCACCAGGTGGCCTCAGATCCCCTCCATTTCCTCATTAAAAATCAGCTGTAAGAATCCTAGCTGTTAGCTGCATCGGTGGCTCACGCCTGTAATCCTAGCTACTCAGGAGGCTGAGATCTGAGGATCAAGGTTCAAAGCCAGCCGCGGCAGGAAACGGCAGGAAACTCCGTGAGACTCTTATCTCCAATAAACCACTCAGAAAACTGAAAGTGGCACTGTGGCTCAAGTGGTAGAGCCTTGAGCTGAAGAGCTGAGGGACAGTGCCCAGACCCAGAGAACAAGCCCCACCACCGACAAAAAACAAACAAACAAAAAATATTCTGGCCGTGCTTGTGCATGCCTGATGGACCTTGGGAAGAACATGGCTGTTTGAGGAGCTAGGTTCAAGTCCCAGCTCCTGTGGCTACCAGGAAGCCATGAGTCCCAAGGCTTGGTTGCCTTACACTGAGACCATTTCACACTCCGCCGCCGAGACCATCCTTGCTGAGGATTTAAAAAGGTAAAGGTTAAGTTGGGTGCTGGTGGCTCACGCCTGTAATTCTAGCTACTCAGGAGGCTGAGATCTGAAGATTGCAGGTCTAAGCCAAACCTGGTAGAAAACTCCACCAGACTCTTTTTTTTTCTTTGGTCATGGGGCTTGACCTCTGGGCCTGGTCACTGTCCCTGCACTCTTCAGCTCAAGGCGAGCGCTCTACCACTTAAGCCAATGTGCCACTTCCGGTTTTCTAGTGGTTTTTATTGGAGATAAGAGGCTCACGGACTTTCCTGCCCAGGCTGGCTTTGAACCTCGATCCTCAGAACTCAGCCTCCTAAGTAGCTAGGATTACAGGCGTGAGCCACCTGCACCCGGCCCACGAGATTCTTATCTCCCAATAAACTACTCAAAAAAGCCAGAAGTGGCACTGTGGCTCAAATGGTAGAGCACTCACCTTGAGTGAAAGAAGCTCAGTGACAGCGCCCAGGCCCAGAGTTCAAGCCCCAGGACCAGAGAAAAAAAAAAAAAGTAAAGGCTTTAAATCCTGTGGGGCACCAGAGCTGTCATCAAGCCAAGTGCTACTGAGCACTTGGCACTTGCAGTTCTGGCCACTGAGAGCTTCTGTCCTGGTTGCTGAGTTCTCATTATTCGTGGACACCCCAGTCACTTCTCACCTCAAGGCGACGCTTAGTCCTCAGCCTGTAACTGCTTCCTTTCTGTGGTCTGTTAGTGCTACATGGGTACTAGTCTTCGTGTGGACACATGCTTATTCTCTTAGGTTAGTAGTTGGGAGTCACTGGCAAGTATATGTTTCTCTTCCTAAGAATCTGATGTTTCTTAGACTGTAAATTTTTGCAGTTTGTATTTGCCAGTCCTGGGGCTTGAACATGGGACCTGCACACTGTCCTTGAGCTTTTGTGCTCAGGATAATACTTTACAGCATTAGCTTTTTGCTGGTTAATGGGAAATAAGAGTCCCACGCACTTTCCTCCCAGCCTGACTTATCTCAGCCTACTGAGTAGATGGGATTACAGGTGTGAACCACAGGCACCTAGGTAAGTTGTATTTTTTTTTAAAATCCGGTTCCAAGGTTTGACCTTAAGCCTTGGCATGGACCCTGAGCTTCTTTCGCTCAGTGCTAGCTAATGCTCCACCACTTGAGCCACAGCTCCACTTCCGGCTTTTTCTGTGATCAATTGGAGATAAGCCTGGGCTGGCTTTGAACTGCCATCCTCAGATCTCAGCCTCTTCAGTAGCTAGGATTACAGGTGCGAGCCACCACTGCCCAGCTAGGCTGTAATTTTGTTGGCCTGGCACTGTCCCTGAGCTCTTTCGCTGAAGGCTAGTCCTCCATCACTTTGAACCCCAGCTCCATTTTGAGTTTTCTGGGTTATTTGGAGATAAGAGTCTTATGGATTTTCCTACTCAGGCTGGCTTTGAAACATGATTCTCAGCTCTTACCCTCCTAAGTAGGTAGGATTATAGGCATGAGCCACCAGCACCTGGCTAAACTGTAATTTTTAAAGAACAAATTTTCCCTCTTAACAATGAAAATTTGGTCCTACGGAAGAATTTTTAGTTACTAGTGGGATTAATATTTTCCCTCACTTTTGTTTTCCTTTTGGCACTTTGCCTGCTCTTGTTGCTGCTTGATGAAAATATGACCAGAGGGCCTCAGGAGCCCAACCTTGGATTTCTTCAGGGAACAGTGGTCAGTGCTTTACAGTACTTCACAGACTGTAGGTATTTAAGAAGGGGCTCACCTCTGCTGCGTGGCGCTGTCCATGGTGCTGTGTGGGGGAGGGGCTCAGCTTCAGCGGCTGCTCCAGTGGGAAGTCCACTGGGCTGGGGTTGGAGAAACTGCGGGAACAGAGCAAGTGCAGAGACTGGAAAGCTCTCCTGGCTACCAGGACTTGTGACTGAGTGGTGCTTGCTGGGCAAGGTGGAAAAGAAGGAAGAAGGGTTTATTTGTGATTTCTCAGGCCATGCAAGAGTCCAGTTACCTTATTTGTGTGTGTCTGTGTGTGCACATATGTGAGTGTGCACACGTGTGCGCGCTGGTCCTGGGATTTGAATTTGGGACCTGAGCTTTTGTGCTGAAGGCTAGTGTTCTACCGCTTAAGCCACAGCTACATTTCCATATTTTTGGTGGTAAATTAGAGATAAAAAGTCTCATAAGACTCCCCTGTCGGGGCTGGCTTTGAACTGCAATCTTCAGATCTCGGTCTTCTGAGTAGCTAGGCTGACAAGTGTGAGCCACTGGCACCTGGCCCCATTACCTCTCATGTGTTCACTCACTTAGTTATTGTGCTACAGGCAAAAGACCTAGGGAGGCTAGGATCCAGTGACTAATTCCCAGTAGGCCAAGCCCAGTGAAGAGCGCCCACACAGCAGCAGTACGGAGGGCTCCCTAATGAGCCTTGTGGGTCTGAAGGACTCTGGCTTGGCTGCTCTTCCCCAGTCCCCAACACTGATTCCAGGAGGTGGACAGGTTAGAGGAGCAGTGAGGACTGTGTGGTCTGACCTCAGAGCTTCCAGGATTCAGACTCCACTCCAGTCCTGGAGGGCATCTGAGTATGTCTCCCTCTTCCCTCCTCCCTCTGCAGGGAACCCTGTGCCATTGAAGCATGCGCTCATAGGAAAAGGTCATGTAATCTACCAACGATACCAGTAGAAACACTGTAACAGAACAAGCAGGAACCAAGTGTGCTCTCAGGGCCCATGGCATTCCAGATGAGGGTCATGGGTCTCTCCAACAGGTTCTTGTCTGCTCTTGAGACCTGCTGGTGAAGGGTGGCGGTCCCTTTAAGTCAGAGTCTCCCTGGGAATTGCCGCAGCCTTGGTGCGTGTGCGGGGGAGGGGGAGTGGAAAGGGAGGATGTCTGCAGTGGTGGCGTCTGCCAGGAAGATCACCCCAGCACAGCCTTCGGCTCCCTGCCAGCCAGCTAGCCACATTTTCATTCTCAGCTGTTAGATCTTCCTTTTGCTCTGAAGCTGCTGATTCACTCACAGGCTGTAGTGGGCTGGGCTCAGCAGCCGGGCGGGGCCAGCTCCCATCTGCGGCTGGGTGGAGAAATTAGGTTTCCGGGTGGCAGTCCTGCACCTTTCTGGATGCCTCAAGGGTGCTAGAGGAATGCTAAGGGAGGAGGGCCAGAGCACCTCAAGCCCTGTGGGATATCTGATCAGAAATGCTGCAGGGCCGGCAGGGCTTGGTCAAGGTGGCCTGGCCGGGGCCAGGATGGCCTCGGTTGCTCATGGTTCTCTGGCTCCCTTCTGCAGGGTGCTTCAAGGATGACCGCATCGTCTTCTGGACGTGGATGTTCTCCACCTACTTCATGGAGAAATGGGCTCCCCGGCAGGATGACATGCTTTTCTACGTGCGCCGGAAGCTAGCCTACACAGGCAACGAGAGCAGCATTGAAGGGAAGAAGGTGGGTGACCCTAACCCCAGCCTGAGTCTGCCCCAGCATCCTACAGGGTCTGCTCCTGCCCCCACACTTCTGTGTGTGTCTGTAGGTATCTACATGCTGACGGAGCACTTGCCATCTTCTAGGGACCCGGTGTAATCACACACGTTGCAGCGTCCCTGTAATCCTGACGAGCAGTGATTGTTCACACCGTGTAGTTCTGAGAAAGGAGAGGCTTAGGGTTCACCTCATGTGACCGGCCTCTCAGTAATGGATGATGGCATAGCATTTTTGACCTGAGCCCAGGGCCTGCCTTGGATGTGGACAGGGTGAGCTGGTTTGATATGATGATGCCTTCTTCAGCCAGTGCTTACCATAGACCAGACAGTGCCAAATTCCCCACGCTCCTTGGTGTAGACAGGTAAGGAAACAGCTGAAGTGACTTATCGAAGGTGTTTGAGCCACTATATGGAAGTGTGAAGAAAGCAAACTGCATATGCTTCCTTCTCTGTTTTGGAAGCTTCGGCGGGTTCTAGAGTCTCTGTGGAACCATGGAGGCAGGTCTGGAACTGGCAGCCTGCCTCGCTTTAAGTCCAGTGCTCTGTGACTCCAGCCCCACGAGTTGTCAGCTGTGTCTCATGCCGTGAGCCTGGAGCCCAGTTCCTGGCATGATCCTGAACATGTGCAGAATTAATCTGTGTCAAGTAGACAGGCCTAGGCCTCTGATAAGGAGGGACTAGCAGGAGAGCTCAAGTCACTGGCTAGAGAGATGGAAGAGACGCAGGAGGGGAAGGTCAGTGGATAGGACTTGGGACCAAAAGGGTGTGGAGGCCTGGCAGAGCCACGTCTGTGGGCAGTACAGGAGGTGCCCATGGAAGCGGTGAGAGCCTCTATCACTGAGGCCCTTGGGCAAGTGTGGGAAGTTGCCACAGAAAATTGAAGCTCAGAGATAGCTGTGAGTCTGCTGTGGGTCCCACAGCCCTCCTGGGAATTAGCTCTGCTCCCGGTGCTCTCGGGAGCCCAGTTCTTGGTCCCTCTGCCCCACCACTGTGCCCTCCCTGTTGGGTATGCCGTAGTTTGCTTTGTGACTGGGCCCCGATGTCTGGTCTGTGGGGGCAGGGGCAGATCCTGAGGTGGAGGGGGGAGCTCTCCCTCACAGCCCGTATGCACCCCACAGATGGCAGGCGGGGAGGAGAGAGGACTGGGCAGGTGAAAGTTCGGAGCTGCTTGGGGAAGGAACAGCCCTGGGTCCAGACTGCAGGGGTCCCAACCTGGAGACTTGGGGGTGTTGAGGTCAGTAGGAGACCCCCAAGTCCCATGGGAGTGCTGAGTACCTGCCATGAGCCACGTGCCAAGTCCAACCCAAGCACTGGGGGCACGGAGGTGACGCAGGCCTGGGCCTGTCTGTTAGGACAGGCAGATGCTTGCTGATCCTTAGAGACAGCAGCGCTGCGATGATGGGGACGCCAGGGGTGCAGGGGCGGTGGGAACACACGTCACACGTGTCTGGGGGACCAGAGGGAGAGGGAAAGCAGCCATGGACAGGCTCCGCCACAGGCGGGAGGCTGCTGATATGTGTGACGAGCCTGCCAGTGTAGGGCCTGCCAGTGCGGACCAGCAGGCTGGTGTATGGCAAAGGCCAGGGCCAAGCAGGGCCCTGCCCATGCTTGCTGACACCTTTCCCCGTTTGTCAGGCTGCAGTGTGGAGGGCGGCGTGCAGGGCACATTGGAGGCATGAGCCAGAAGCGTTCCCTGCCCAGAGCAGTCTCACAGGGCGGCGAGGTGTGGACCACCGTGATCGCAGATTGTGCGCTGAGAGTCCTCAGCAGCAGTGCTGCCTGCTGGTGCCCAGTTACCATGGCAACAGAGCTAGGCTTCCTGCCTAGCTGAGGAGGGTGATGGGAGAGCTGAGGCCTGCAGTGTGGGTGGGCATAGGATGCTGGAATCCCCACACCCGCTCCAGCATCCCGGGGACCCTGGCCCGGCTCCTCCCAGGGAAGGATGCCCTGGATTCTTGTGCTGTCATTTTTTTAAAAAGACATTCCTTATTGGCACCAATTTCTTTCTTTCTTTCTTTTTTTTTTTTTTTTGTCGGTTGTGGGGCCTGAACTCTGGGCCTGGGTGCTGTTCCTCAGCACTTCAGCTCAAAGTGACCACAGCGCCACTTCCGGCTTTTTTCTTTTTGCTTATGTGGTGCTGAGGAATGGAACCCAGGGCCTCATGCATGCGAGGCAAGCGCTCTATCACTGAGCCACCTTCCCAGCCCAGCACTAGTTATTTTTATGAGGGGATTTCATTTTGACATGTCCCGATAGGCACACATTGCACCTTGGTCAGTTGTGTCTCCTCGCTGCTTTCTCAATGCACCTCTGGACAAAACTTCTCCCCATTCTCAGCAGCCTATTTTGCCTTTGGCCAGGAAAGACAAAAACATCCAAATGCCCCTGCTGGGGGCCACTGACACTCCTGTTGACACTAACAGCAATTTTGGGTACAGATTATCCTGAACCCACTCACTGGACACTAAAGTTCAGAGATTGCAACTTCCTGGTGGTGTTTTATCTTCTGATAGATTGCCTTGAGTAGAAGACATGCAGAAAAGAATGTGCAGACAGATGTCTGCACAGGACCCCAGCTTGAAAGTTTGTCTTTCCAGTGTGAGCACCAGGGTCACCAGAGCTCAGCATGACCCACATACCTGAGGCCCTTGGCCTCCTCCCTCCTCCAGGCAGGCTGACTTGACTTCCCTCCCCTGGGCGGGTGGTGCCTCTGCTGCTTACCTCCCTGTCGTCTTTGACCCAGGGGCTGTGGTTGGTCATCTGGCTGCTGCACGTCCCTCCCTCAGGTGCGTGCTCCCGGCACGTTTTTGGATCTGTCTTTTGGGGGCGCACTTTCCTGATGGAGAGGTTCTCTTTCCACTGTCCAGCGTGCTTTTCTTCAGGCGTTGAGCCAGCAGGGGCTTGCCGAGCACCTGCCACGAGCAGTGCAGCCTCGTTGGGGCTGCATTCTCTGAACCTCAGGGGGATAAGTACGGGGAGGACAGGACCACAAAGTGGAACCAAGCCACGCAGCCATCTGTCCACAGCTGTGTGGGCAGTGGGGAGGCAGCCTCCCCCGTGTGACATCCGGCCTCCTGTGCCTCTTCATGGGGCTTAGCTCTGCATAGGTTTGTGCCTACAAGAGGTCCCAGCATGGCCCAGCAGGAGGTGGCGGGGGACCCTGTTGGGCCTTACTGTGACCCAGGGCTGGGGGCTGCTGGCCAGGGTGGGTTGTATCCAGGTCTGCTTTTGACTTCTTATCGCCTTGGGTGCTCTGGTTTATCTTCGATGTGGATGTCTTTTTGATTTGCAGTAAATTTGGTTTGCATCTGTTAGAGCAAGGTTGATGAGGCTTTGCTTGAAGGGTTGTTGTCAGTACAGAAGGACAGAAGGATGAACAGCCCAGACCCGGATGCCCCCTGGGAGCTCAGTAGATACTATGGCTGTCACTGTCCCAAAACACACCTGGGAAGTCTGTGGCCTTTCATCATCACAGCGCTTTGAAAGGCAGTTGCTCTCAGCCATTGTACAGACAGGAAAAGTGAGGTTTCAAGAGGAAAGGAGAGGAGGTCTGGGTCACAAAGTTGGGGAGTCAGGGAGTCCTCATTCATGCTTGTGCCTGTCCTGTGCCACAGGCTGAGGCCGAACCCGAGGTGGAAGTGGAAGTAGAGGTGTACCGGCGGGACTCCAAGAAGCTCCCCGGCCTGGGAGACCCTGACATTGACTGGGAAGAAAGCGTCTGCCTGAATCTCATCCTGCAGAAGGTACAGACCAAGGGGGGAGGGGCCCACTGTGCCCTGGTAAGAGGACAGCAGCCCCCGTGCACACTGACCTGCGCTCTCTTCCAGCTGGACTACATGGTGACCTGTGCGGTGTGCACACGTGCCGATGGCGGGGACATCCACATCCACCGGAAGAAATCCCAGGTGAGCCCCCGCCTCCTGCCGGCCAGCCTTCCGCCCCCTGAGTGTGTGCTGGGAGATGCGTCTTCCTCCTCCTCCTCCTCACTTCCCCGCCCCCAGGTGGGGTGCGCTGCAGAGGTCCTCTCAGCTCCTGGGGCCCTGGCCCCTGCAGGGAGCACACAGCCAGCTTACCCACACTGATGCCCAGTTCTCCTCCCGCTTCTGGCTGGCTCAGGGCACAGTGGCCCTATGACTTCTGAGGAGGGCTCTGGGCCTGCCTTGGCGGTGCCTCTCTTAGCCCTTAAAAATCTGTTTTCTTCCAGCAAGTGTTTGCATCCCCCAGTAAACACCCCATGGACAGCAAAGGGGAAGAGTCCAAGATGAGTTACCCTAACATCTTCTTCATGATTGACAGCTTCGAGGAGGTAAACTGCTTGTGCCTGGCTTTCCCCTTAGCTCCCCTTTCCGGAAGGGAGGGAAGAGTCTAGATGAAGGCCAGTGTGGCTTATCCTCTTCCCAGTGTTCGGCTTGGGGCAGCCTTATTTCATAACTATACAATGAGTGTGGTGACTGACTGCCCTATATTCCTGTCAGGATCGCCGGCCCAGGGAGTCCTGAGTGATAAAAACATCGTAAACTCCTACAATAAAATGCTGCCCGGGCAGGAGGAGCTTTACCATTGCAGCTGCTCTAGATGCTGCCTCAGGCCTGTGCTGACATGGAATCTGAGGTGTCAGATAGGGGTGGGGCTTCAGTTCTCCAGACTTGGAAAACATGGTGCTTCATGAAAGGGGGAGAAGCTGGCGGTCCCCTTCCCCGTGTGGCCTTCCCGAGGCCCTGGAGGTGGTCTTTGAGCTTGCTTCTAGGCAGTCAGGCCACCTGGGAGGGTCCATATAGAAGCAGTACGTACTTTAGAGTCTCCACTAGATCTGATGGTGCCTTGAAGCACTACTCACTTATTTATTTTGTATTTTGCTTGTATTTTGCTTTTGGCGACAAGATCTCATTACGTAGCCCACACTGGCCTCAAACTTGAGACCCTGACGGGCACAGGCAGGACTTGCTAGTACACCCGCTCAAATGTTTTTTTCCTGATTTATTTATTCACACCCGGGCTTGAACTGAAGGAATTGCGAGGCAGATGCCTGGCCACTGTGTCTCTAGCCCCTAGGTGGAGTTTTCTTTAAAAAAATTTTTTAAGTAGTAATACAAGGGGGTTTGAATCTAAAATGTCATTTCTGTGTCTAGTGCACCTTGATCATGGTGAGCCTCCGCCATTCTCCTTCCCACCTACCTCATTCCCCGCGTTCTTGTGTCCTAGTTCCATTTTCACACTGAGCATTATGGCTGTGTTTGTTCAGTGTCTCATTCTGCTCATCCACTCCCCCCAGTACCATGACATGCTCCAGCTTCCTAATTAATATTCATTTTGTTCAACTGTTAATTGACAGAGGTGCTCTGTGGAAACCCGCCCCTGCATACCTCACACTGTCCTCAGCTTGGTCATATGTGTGTGTGTTTATACACTCATGTATATATGATTGTGTATGTGTTTGCACCTTTTTTTTTTTTTTTTTGGGTCGGTCGTGGTGCTTGAACTCTGGGCCTGGGCGCTGTCCCTCAGCAATTCAGCTCAAGGCGAGCGCTCTACCACTTGAGCTACAGCGCCACTTCCGGTTTTCTGGTGGTTTATTGGAGATAGGAGTCTCACGGTTTCTCCTGCCCGGGCTGGCTTTGAACCGCAATCCTCAGATCTCAGCCTCCTGAGTAGCTAGGATGACAGGCGTGAGCCACCCGCGCCCGGCTGTGTTTGCACCTTTGTGTATATTAGGTCTGACTTCCACATATGGGAAAGCATGCACCCTCTGTCTCTCTGAGCTTACGTTACTTAGCATCATTTTTTTTTCTTGGTCCATCCATTTTCTTGCAAATAACATCATACGATTTATCCTGATGGATGAATAAAATTCCACTGTGTACGCGGGGTGCTGGTGGCTCACACCTGTAATCCTTGACTACTCAAGAGGTGGAGATCTAAGGGTCACAGTTTGAAATGGGGAAGGAAAGTTCAGAAGATTCTTATCTCCACTAAACTTTCATAGAAGCTGGAAGTGGAGCTGTGCTCAAGTAGTTGGGAGAGTGCTAGCCTTGAGCAAAGAAGCTCAGGGACAGTGTCCAGGCCCTGAGTTTAAGCCCCAGGAGGGGCACACAAACACAAAAAAAATTCTTTTATACACACACACACACACACACATTTTATTGATTGTAGAGCATCTGATTTGCTTCCATATCTTGGCAGCAACCAACATGGTTGTGCAGGCGTCTTTACAGTATCCTGACTTGTAATCTGCGTGAATGCCAAGAGTGGTATTGCCAGATTGTCTGGTAGTACTGCTTAGTGTTTTGATGAATCTCCATATTGGCTCCCATAATGGTTGTACTAATTTACATTCTACCAACAGTGTAATAGGGCTCCCCCTCCTCCTCACCCCGACCCCTCCCCCGTCTTGCCCCACCTCCCAGCAGTATGGATTGTTTGTATTCTTGATAATAGCCATTGTAACTGAGATAAGATGAAATCGCAGTTTTATTTTGATCTTCATTTCCCTTACAATTTTATTTTGATCTTCATTTCCCTTATGGCCAGGGATGTTGTTAAGCATTTCTTTGTGTCTTTATTGGCCGTTTTTTGCTACTACTCCTGAGCAGTAGCTGCTTCTTTGCCCATTTATTAATTGGGTTAATGATTCTTTGGGGATTAGCTTCTTAGGCTCCCTGTACAGTTTGCCTGTTAGTCCCTTGTCAGATACACGGCTGGTGAGGATCTTTCCCCGTCTGCAGGCCATCTTCTCGGCTTCACTCTTTCCTTGATGTGATCGCCATGTCAATCTTCTGTTCTCATAATGGGGTTTTTATAAGTGGTGGCTCCCAGCAGCCGGGCCAGGCTGCAGCTGATGGAGCTGCTGATGCTGGACGGCCCTGTCTGTCTCAGGTGTTCAGCGACATGACCGTGGGGGAAGGAGAGATGGTCTGCGTGGAGCTGGTGGCCAGTGACAAAACCAACACGTTCCAGGGCGTCATCTTCCAGGGCTCCATCCGCTACGAAGCCCTCAAGAAGGTGTATGACAACCGCGTGAGTGTGGGGGGCTCCGCTCAGCAGCCCCAGCCCCTCTTTCCTTCCCACCTGAGCCATTCCCGCGTCTGCGTGGTGACGGCCACCACTCCCGGCCCCCGCGGCTCCTCGGCACGCGTCCCTATGTCCTTTGATCCTGTGTTGGCCCCAGTTCCAGGCTGTCCCCGAGACGCCAGTGAGCATCTGGTCCTTGCGCTGTGCTTCCCTGGGAGCCGGCAGCCGGTGGCACGGTGGTTTCCTCCCCACTGTGAGTCCCTGGCCATCTGCTGCCTGTCACTGGCAGCACTCCCAGTCCACTGGGGCGCACGTGGTCCCCAGGTCTCTCGGGTGCTTGCTCTGGCTGCTTGTGTCCCAAGGGAAGGGCCCCGGCCCCACCCCCACTCCCACCCCCACCCCCACCGCCCCTCAGACCGGGTCCTGCCCACCACAGGTGAGTGTGGCCGCTCGCATGGCCCAGAAGATGTCGTTTGGCTTCTACAAGTACAACAACATGGAGTTCGTGCGCATGAAGGGCCCCCAGGGCAAGGGCCACGCGGAGATGGCAGTCAGCCGAGTTTCCACGGGCGACACGTCCCCCTGCGGGACTGAAGACTCCAGCCCGGCTTCTCCCATGCACGAGCGGGTAAGGACAGGGCAGGGGGAGGGGTCCGGTCTCCCTCATCCCACAGCCTCCGGGTGAGGCAGGACTCCTCCTCCCCCTCGGATGGGGCCACTGAGGTTCAGAGGAGCAGGTGCGTCCCTGAGCTGCGGCTACAGCCAGGCCCTGGGTGCCTGCAGGGCAGACCCGTTCCCCAGCGTGGCTGTGTGAGGCCCCCTGGCGAGTCAGCGGGAGGACGACGCGTTGGCTTCCCTGCCATCCCATGGGTTGGCCAGAGTGTACAAAGGCCCTGGGGCCACCTGACTCTTTCTCAACACTGTCCCATTGCTGCATAAACAGGGTGTTTTATCTGCTGGCAGCAGCCCCACAGGAGGAGGTACCATCCTGCCCCTGATGTGAAAAGCCAGATACTGCCCTGGTCACGAGACTCCCCAGCTCAGCACAGGCTCAGCCCTGTTCCCTCCACCCCCATGTGGGGAGCAAGCTCAGGCCACCTCCAGCCCAGAAGCTTGGCCTGGGCTGGGTTGCAGGCCCAGGACCTAGGCAAGGCAAGGTTCTCTGCCTGCTGGCTATTTTGTCTCCTTAGAAAGGGGCTGCTCAGGTCCTGGAAGGCACTGGAAAAGTAGCTAACGGACCTTCCAGGCCTTGTCTACGAGAGACATGGTGACCAGGGCCCAGTTCGAGGGACCTGCCAGGTCCTGAGCCTCCGTTCTCTCGTGGTGAACTGCGGGAGTCATGCACGGTGCGGGGCTGCTGTGTGCAGACAGCACAGCTGGACAAGCTGACGGGAGAGGGCGTGGGCACAAGTGATCCGCTACTGTCCCCTGTGCGCCGGAAGGTTTCAACCCTGGGAGTCTCCAGGAGGCCGGACAGCGTTTTGTTGTGTTCTTCTCTCTTCTGCCTGTCTTTCTGATGTCTGCATCGTCTGTGAATGCTGTTGTGTAAGCCACACAAAGCAAGCCTTGCTAGCCTTTGGGAGATGGCTGCGAGGGCTGGCCAGGCCTCTGGCGTGCTGGCGCCTTACATTTCTGAGCTCATTCTACTCCCACCTCCTCAGGATGCGCACTGCCCTTGTGAGGAGAGGAGGCGCTGGGGCCTCGGCCTGGCCGGTGCTGGGGGCCGGAGGCCGGGGGCCAAGGGTGAGATGGGAGAGGGCTGGGCCCCAGGGGGGCAGGGAGGCCCCAGGGCCAGGGGAGGAAGGCACTTGCCCACTGTCCTGAGCAAGTGCTGGTACCCAGTGCAGGACACTGCAGACTGTGCATTGTGGTTTTTGGTGTTTTTGATCTTTTAAACCCTTCCCTGGCTTGTGGGAGGACGCCCGGAGCCCAGCAGCCTCGGGATCTCGGTGGAGGCGGAGGTCGAGCTGTCTCAGTCCCAGCTCATCTCGCTGCTCTGATTCTTGTTTGCGTGGGGAGGAGGGAGGAGATGGGCCAAGTTCCCTCTTCCTGGAACGCCCTTCCCCCCCTTCTTCACCTGGCGAACTCCTCCTCGTCCTTCAAGACCCAGCTCAAGCTGCACCTTCTCCAGGAAGCCCACCCTTATTTCTCAGGCTGTTATTGATTCCTTCCTCTGTGTCCTGTTTGCCTTTCTCGTCTCAGCAGCCAGCATGCTGTCTGTGGTTGTCCCTTGCTAATTCTCTTGGCCCCAGAAGACTGTGAGCTCCTTGTGGGCAGGGACCTGCCCCGTGCGTGTCTGTCTGTGCCCCTGACCCTGAGTGGATGGAGAAAGTTTAGTGAACTGAGCAAAAGGCACTCCAAAGAGCTGCCCAAGGTTGAGAGCCATTTAGTCTTAAGTCGAAAGGCTGGGAAGGGGAGGGAGTGGCCTGTGGGCCAGGCGGTGCAGACCTGGGGGGTGGCCTGGAAAGCGGAAGACTGGATGGAGTGCAGGTGCGGCCGCTGCCTGCCGCCTGCCCCTGCTGTGCTGCGGCTGTGGATCCCGCTTGTTCCCAGGCCGAGGTGGGCCAGAGCGGCCTGTGCCCCTAGAGCTCCGCTGGCCGGGGCAGCGCGGGCACACTCAGCCGCTCTGGCCGCCTCTTGACTTGGACTCCTTGTTCCAGGTGACCTCCTTCAGCACCCCCCCCACCCCAGAGCGGGGCAGCCGGCCCACCTTCTTCTCGCCGTCCCTCAAGAGGAAGCTGCCCCGGAACCGCATCGCCGAGATGAAGAAGTCCCACTCAGCCAACGACAGCGAGGAGTTCTTTCGGGAGGACGATGGTGGAGGTGATGCCAAGGGGCTCCTGCCCCC